TTTTTTCTCCCACATGGTTTACATTTGATCACTGCTGCATTTCCATTTAATGGAAATGGTCATGAAAGATGTACTCTGTGTATAGAAAATGACAATAAAAGTTGACTAAATCTAAGTCTCTTTGTTACCATGACTTTACAAAGTTTTGAAATACCTCCTAAACTAAATCTATGAAAACTACAATAACACACAGTGGGAAATGTTGACTTTAGCATTAAGTTTTGTTTGAAGTAGAAGCTTTAAGGGGAAATTATGCAACTTTGACAGATTTCCAACTTGTAATCCTATCATTGAAGTTTGGTTTGCATCACTTTGCTTAGATTTTTAGCACTACAAACGGTGTCCAACTGGAATGTGTAGTAGAAAGCTCTATTAACTCTTTATCATCCATCATGTAGGACAAAGGTCATACGGACGGACAGATCAAAGATTTTCTCTTGCGCCATTTCAATGTTATAAAGGCCAGTCAGTGAGTCACATCTGCCAACATGAACAGGGAGCTGGTTATACTGCACTATGGTCATCAGTCAAAGAATAAGGTTTCAGGAGACAGGATGACTCCATCTTGGCAGGAACATGACACATCACCTAGAATTTGATCCGAGCTGAAGAATCAACTCACCAAAAAAGAACTTAGTGTTCTGGGCAGCAGATGAATGGAGCCGTTTGACCTTTGATCTCGTTATTTTACCTTTATGTTTAAGGCTTTTATTCTCACAACGCATGCCCCAACAATGAGATTATTGTTGGACTGTGAATTGCAGGAAAACAGAGTGAGCTGTGGCCAACAAAGGCATTTAACTGAGCCTGAACCACCGGATTAATCAGAGCACCATGGACCTGCTTATTTAGCTGATCCCAGTGGTTTTCTAAGCAAGTGATGGAATCGCTACGGTAATTGGGTTATAATGGACTGGTTACTGGTATAACACAGTCACCAATGGCAAACATGTCAACAGCTCTATTTCAAATGTTTATTTCATGTTATTTTTTTCCTCGGGTCTATTTTTATCGATTTGCTCCTGGACGTAATTCTCCCTCCTGTGCTGCGGTGGCGCTAAAGCCATTTTGCCCTCCTACCTCGCTTCCTGGTTATACTCTTTCCCCAGTGTGTTGCAGTAAGCTTGACACAGACATGTTTGATTTATGCTCAATATTGAAGCGTGGTCTGAGCTACACACTTTGGGTCTAGATACGGCCGAGGCGGTGAGGAAGTAGGGGCGAGTTTAGTCCGATGACGGAGGGACATGAGGGCCAAAAAGAGCGGGGATCCAGGCGGAAAAAGGGTCCCAGCGTTCTCGAGCACCTCGCTCTTCTAGCGGGTCAGACTTCATGAGTCGTTTTCCGCAATTTCGGTCATAAAGACAAAACAAGCCGGCCTCCTGTCTGCGGCACTGTTTGCGGTCAATTAATCGAATTGAAGTGTATTCTTGAGTATTGAAAATAATCGAATTGTTGTGTCAGGAAATCGATACGGAATCGAATCGCCATGATGGGTGTGATTTACACCCCTAATATATATATATATATGGGTTGGTGTTTTTTGGTTTAATAACTGTGTACCATCTGTACCCTGCACAGGAGACAGTGGATGGAAATTAGCCTTTGTCTACAGCCTGGTGTTCCGTCAGATGAGCATAACCGATCAGACCAGCATACCAATAGTCAATACCCGTTTATCCCTTTAGTTTTGTACGAAAAAAAACGTTATACTACCTCAATGGCTGTGCATCCCTTTTTAGTCATGTACAAAAAGAAAAGCAAGTTATTTTTTGAAGCATATGTTGATATGTTGATTTTTTGGACATGACTAAAAAGAATACATGACTGTTGAAGTAGTTTAAAGTCTATTTTTTAAAGGGATAAATGCAAATCTGATGACTTGCGCATGTCTATTGACTATGGGTATGCTGGTCTGACGGGGTATACTCATCTGACAGAACACCGGCATGTTGGTCTTAAATGTGTGTTGATTAACATGCACTGTCCCAATCAAAGATTAAATAAACTTTTGCTGCACGTGGCTGGTCAGCTGGCTTAAACAACGCCACTACAGCCGTTTTACCTGCTTATGTAATTGGTAGCGTTACAGAAAACTAGTAACTTTATTTGGTCTGATGTCAAGCTTCCATTAGAGATGGGCAATTAACAGAATTTGAAATAAAATCACCATTTAAGAAAATAGAATTGGTCAAGTTCCATTTAACTCAAAGGCTAATTTTTTTTACCCTCTGGCACTTTATGTGGTGGTTATGTTTGAAGTGGATCTGCTGCCATGAGGAAAATGAAACTTAAAGCTAGGAATTGTTTAAGGTCATCAAAAACTGAAGCCCTAGAGTGAAGATTGACATGCTCATTGTTAGTGCCAAAGTAAATCAAAATAAAAAGAAATCGCAAACAATATTGGTTTAAAATAATCACCATTTAGGATTTTTGGCATAATTAAGCCCTAGCCTCCATCACTATAAGCTTTAGCATCTCGTACAATACAAACTCATGAGGTGTATTGTCTATTGAACTGCCCAAACCCCAGCAGTCTTTATAGTGCCCACCCAGGTTTGGTAATGTTGGTGTAATGTTTAGCCTTCAAAATAAAATAGATAACTTTCTACAAGATCAGCAAGAAGACATTGAGTCAACTGGACCTTTTGTGTTCCAAATTAAGAGTTTATTATGCCATCTTGAGCATGCTTAGGACTAGGACCAAACTAATCACTGACTGGTATTAACCCAAAGTTACCTTATGAAAGGAAAAGGGAGCCCTAACTTTAACAGTGGTGGATTTCCCATCAAAACCAACAGCGTTTGCTCCAGTCTATGTTAATGTATTATAGATCCAGCTGCTCCAGTGGACAGGGGCAGTAAATAAAAACAAAAAATATTTTCAAAAAAAATTGGGTTTAGGCACATGTGAATATAAAGTAGAGCTGAGTCACAAAGTCTGAGAAGTAAATCTTAAAAGTGCAAAGTAGATTAGAAGTCACAGTAATTATAGTTTTACTCCTACAGAGACATCATCAGCAAATACTGAGCTTGAGTTACATCAGTGCCCAAAGACATATTTGAACAGATCTTTCTAAAAGGCACCTTTGTTAACTGGAAGGAGCTGGTATATTCAGAGCATCCTGCATGATTATATAAACAACCCCATGTTTAAACAGCATAGTTATTGGCTCAGACTGAGTTGGTGCTTATACAGGAGTAAAAAAAAAAAAAGTTTATTTATTCTGTAAAGTAGCCCCAGAAAGTTTTAAAATAAGAGCCTGTTCCGTTTTACTCAGAAAAGCTAGAAGTTTCGAAAACTTAACCCTATCTTTACATCTCAGGGCCACAGTTCTCAGTATTGGGCAGTTTCTGACGTCCAACTGTCAGATTACTTCTCTTAAAGATTAACTGGTGCGTCAGCTGACTTCCCAGAAACTGGTGCTTTTTTTAAACTGAAGGGCGTGCTGTTGCTATAGGGAGGAAGAACAGCTTGCAACCAATACCCACGCTCAAAGGCGGTTCCTACTCTCAGGTTTCAACTTGAGAGACCAGAACTTTTGAGCAATGCAAAATTGAGCATTTACTTTTACAAACCATCTTAAATAGTTCCTGCAGGTATTTCCTCGTGCATCAGGACAAACTTCCCTATAAATGCAAACTGAAAGCTATTTTCTCAACTTCACAAAACCCCTTTTTGAATTTTTGAAAATGCCACATATTAAGAAACGAAAATAAAACCCATCAAGCATTTAATCTTAGAACTTATATCTTCTAAGATAGTGTTATGCCCTAAAGAATGTAGAGAAGAGTTTAAACGCCACTCCTGAAACTATCCCCAGAAAGGAATGCATTTACCTGCTGTAAATGCCTTTCAGTTTGCAGCTGCTTCACTGTTATGGTTTAGAAGCTGCAAAGTTTTGTTCAGCTAGGCTGTTAAACCACAACAGATGTACTGTTGTAGCAGAAAACACAAAAAAAAAATGTTTAAAGATAACTTTAGTTGGAATAGATCAGCCTCCCACACAAGGAAGTTAAGTAGGAGTCACAAAAACTAGTTTGAATTTAGTATCTGTTCCAAAGATTAGTCTGCCAGTTCTGCTCTTTCATTAGGTTCAAACTGCAGTTCTCAAACTCTACAAATGTATCTAAAGCATTTACTGCAGAAATATGCTTTACAAGTGAAAGTTTCAAACACTAGTTCAATTCAACATTATTCAGTTCCTGGCAACACTGTTTGCTTGGTGAATGTTGCAAACAGAATGTGCCTCGGTCTGCATTTTCCCCAGAGCAAAAACAGCCCATTGCCTCAATGGTAACCAGGATGGTGGCAGAAAATATGAGTGAACCCAGGAAGGTCTGCTGTGAATCGTCACCATGGAGAGAAAAGTCTCCATATCCTCCACAGACCTTAATGGAAGTCCTGTTTGTTCTGTAACCCTAGTACACACCAGGGTCTGAAAAAACAAAAACAGGGGCGAAGTCCTGAATCATCACCATGGTTTCCCTGCTGGATGCTTGGTGCGACGCTTGATTCCTTGGAGCTGATGTGCCAGAGAAACCATTCAGGTTGATGGAAAAAATGTTTACAAGCATTGTAAGCCAAAGAAGAAGCAAGATAGTATATCTGGTGCCCAATCAAAAAAAGATTAAGTCATCAGTATCTAAGTAGGTGATGCCTGCTTGAATCAGGATGTGGATGTTGTTATGCAATTCTGAAGAAGTGAACTGCTTTTACCCCAGTTCAGCACTCTTGCTGGTGCATCAGCTTTGCAAATAAACACTGCAGCTTGCAAAACTGCAGATGCAGCCTAGAGCTCAGTAAAATAAGGTGTTACCACAGTATAAAATTTCTAGGAAACGGCAGCAAGAGCTGTATTGGGTTGTGGTGTGAATAAACAGGTCACGTGTTAAACTGTGTCGAAACATCACTTTGTCACAGCACACATCTTTAGATTATAGAGGTCACCGCTTTACGAAAAATTCCCTAATGAGAAAGATGATATCAACAAGTCAAACAATGTATTCAAATTTATTTATTTACAACTAAATAGTAAGAAATTTGCTTTTAAAGAGTGACATATGTGCAAATCATTACCTACAACCTGACTTTTGTGAAAGATCCAATGTGGGTTCATTTTGCAACATGTTAAAGAAATAAAGACGGCCTGACCTCAATTGGCCTGGAAAACTTTGACATGATAACGACTAAAACTCTTAAACAACCCCCCCCCCTCCCCCAAAAATGTTTAAATTAAATCAGCTACATTCTCCTCGCATACAAATGTTTAATTAGAAAAATAAATTTGTATATTAAATAAAGCTTTATAAACAGAACATTTACAGAAAAATACACGTGGCTAAAAGGTGACTGACAAAAAAAAAAAGCCACACATGGTGAGATGCTGATAACAGTCTGTCTTTCTCAGTCCTTAACAGCCCAGAGATCAGTCCAAGAGTCCAACAATTTCACCTGATCAGAAAGGCCAATGTTGCCCCAATACCAGCCACTCCAACAAAAGCCATGAGAGTGTTCCTCATTGTTGCTTCAGGATCTTCTACTCTGAAGAACTCCACAAATCCATTCTGGAATAATAAAAAAAAAACAGTTTCAATGTTGGGATCAATCAACACACTGATACCCCAGGTGAACGAGCAGCACTGTTCCAGAACTTACCCATGAATTGTTCTTTACTAGCCAGTCCCTCTGATTTTGCAGCAGGTATGTGGAGATCTCTTGGCTCACCAGCTCCACGCAGTTCTCTCTGCCTTTCTCCTTCAGGTGCTGACACACCACAGCCCCGAAGGCCACCAGGCTCACTATCCGGCCCCAATTCGTGGTTCCGTCTGAAAAGAGGCTCGTGGCGACTGAACTCACAAATCCCATGTTGTCCGGTACTTCATCTAAACAAAGCTTATTCATCATACCTGAGAGAAAAGAAAAACAAAAGAAATCAGAAATCTACATTTGCGAATTTCTCTGAGTAATGCGTTAATAGCTGCGTTTTACTTCCGCCAAATTGCGTAATAAGCCACCGGACCAGACTTTAAATCACTTCCTTGAATATCTAGTAAGGCCAAAACTACCATTTCTCATCGAAACAACAGTTTCAGACATATATTGATCAAGCTGTGTAATATTCCCGGTAGAAGAGGCAGCGCTATGGAAAATCCCCTCCAACAATGGCGGCTACTCACCATTGTAAGCGTATCTGTGTTTCGACAAAACGTCCTCCACCACCCTTTTCATGGTAGACAGAGCTTTAGTTTGATTCCGCCGTTGTTTAGGAAGTCCCGTAAAGTCTCTTAGGAAACTGCTAATAAGCTCCTTCGTGTCGTTGTCCAGCGCTTCGTCCCCCGCATGGCCGCCCGGTGTGGCGGGGTGGCTGTCCGTTGGCATCTCCGGGGTGCACGGCAGAGACCCGCCGTCGTCTGCGCTGTTGTCTGAAAGGTTTTTTCCAACGTATCCATTCGTTGCTACTTGCAGATCCTTCGGACGTTTCATTAAGTTTCGGTGAAGAGATCCCATTGGGGAGTTCATTGGTATTTCTGGTGCTGCAATCTCCGGGCTGTAGTGCGTTTGTCCGTCCACGACTCCATTTTGTGGAAGAATAAGGTAACTCATTTTGGTTTTTGCCGGTTTCGTTACCGTTTACTACTTTAAAAAATTGGCTTCAAACGATTATTAACAAACAAATAACCCGCAAATGCGAGATGGTTATTTAAATATTTAAGTCTTCTTTATTAATCCAATCCGTCTGGCCCAATGTTTCCGGAGCGGAAGTACAACGGCTCCTCAGTCTTATATCCTCTCGAAAAAAAATGATGTCACAACGCTCCTCCCACATATTTCCTTTGCTTTTTTTTTTTTTTTTCCACTTAATGTCAACAATCACATAGAAAATATACAAATAAAAAAACAAATACAGCAGGGAGTTTAATAATATAATCACAATAAAAAAGTACAGTCAGGAGGAAAGACAAACTTACAAACAGATGTGTTTAGGAGTGTCATATATATGTATGTATATATACACATATAAATACATGTACTGTACAAATCTACATATCTTCTACAACAAGAAATTGTCCAGACTTTTAAGATGGGAACAGATTCATATGGTTTTTTTGTGCCTTTTGGTGAGAGGAGGGTTTAATAGTACTAACATATTGTTTAAGTTCAATTAAATAAACATTAAAGTTGGGCTTTTTTGGGAGTATAAATGTATAAAAATGAAATTTAGCCAAGATAATTAAGAGATAGGGAAAGGTTTGGGAAACATTTTACTTTGCTGCTGAAAACTGAATAGAATGTTTTCCCAACAAAGTTGAAAATCTTTTAAAATATATTGAATCTGCATAGTTAGAAAAGTGTATGTAAACATTATGGACACAGCCAGAACATGTGTGTACCAGATTCTGGAAGATCACAAAAAGTGCAGTTCACAATAATATCAGATTTGATTTTTTTAAGGTAGTCTTTGGCAGGATATATCCTGAATGAGTTCCTTAGTTTGTTTATATCAGGAACAAGAAAAAGTCTTAAAATATCTGAAAATCATGTTCTGAACTCTGTGGAGTTTTTGTATTTAAACACTACTTGAGCTTGTTGTTTTTTGAAAAGCATCAAATTAAACGTCTAACCACTTAATGATAATAAATGCCAGTATTTATATATGTATAAATTGAAGTGCAGCTGTTTTCTGACAGATTTCTGTGTTTTTTTTTATTTATTTTTATCATGAAGAGTAGCCTACAATTAAGGGGAAAACGAGGACTTTTTAAAATTTCATTTTATAATTGCATTCTACTTTTGGATGTCTATTTGTCAAACTAGTGGTCTAAAACTAAGTCCTGCAACGTTTAGATATCCCTCTTTTTAACATATCTGGCTAAGATAAGAGCTTATTGTAAAACTTGACTGCATAATAGTGAGAATTTTAACCATTTCATTCAAGAAAAAAAAAAAAAAAAGACATCTGTGCGGAACATTACAGAGCTTTGGGGAAATACCTGGAAGTTTCCGCCCTTCTCCCAACATGGGGGTGTGGTTAGTATGGTTAGTAAGGTTCTGGCTCCCCCTTGTGGTCATCGGAGTTTGTACACTTTATTTATTTTTGTGTATTTCATCAAATCTCCTATAGGTGAGTGTTTTTATTTTTGAAGGTACGTTTATTAAAGTACATTAGAGGTTTGAGCATAGGAACAACTATACATTTGTCTGATGTTTAACTGTAATGAAAAGCCAACACATTTTTTAATTTATGTAAAAGTTTATTTCAAATACTGACAAAAATCCTTTCACCAGCTTCCACACAACAAACATTCCAAATAGCCCTGTACTTTCTGAAGTGTCAAAAACTTTCCTTTGTTCTCCAGTGATCCTCGCCATGTAAACCCCCTATATTTAAGAAGGAAGGGTGCTTCTGACCTCCCTGCAGCTGTCTCGGGCCAGAAATATGATGAAATATACCAATTATGCAATAAATGAACACAACAAAAAATGATAAACATCTGCTTGCAAAACAACAAAAAACAAAGAGAAAATGTAATTCAGAGTACATAGCCTGTCATTTGTTTATACATTCTGGCACGTATTTCTTTCCTGGATGACACACCCTATTTGTGAGGTTTAAAACATGCCTAGTCAGTTTTCTTTAGTTTGCCCTCTGCAAAGCAGTGAATAGCCCCTCTAAACTTTTATGCATTTTTTTCCCCAACAAATCATTTTATTCTGAAAGCACAAACTGTACATTTTAAACCAAATACTGCTAAATATTAAGTTTTTTCTAATCAACATGGCAAAAGTATTTCCACCTTTCCCAGCTCTAGACACTGATAGTTAAAAACAGTCTTTTATCGAACAGACTTTACTTCAGAAGCTTCGCTATTCTGAAAGTAAAATGTTGAGAGGAAATTAAAAAAAGGGAGTCACACAGTCAAACCAAAGAGGGCAAGCATTCTTTACAGGGCATGTTTTTAGATTTGTCTTTGAATCAGCAGCATTTACACACATTTTCATATCATACAGATTCACATAGCCTCTGCAGAACACAGATATACAGCAGAAGTAGTGTTAAAACTGGCAGAAGAGAGGAACCACTGAATCAGAAATAGCTCAGGCTACAAAAAAAAAAAAAAAAAGCAGGTGGGAAACAACAAAAGTTCAATCCTGTTGAAGTCTATTTACAAGACAAAGAAAAGTGTTGCATTCATACAGCACCATAACAATATCACACACACGTGTCGTTTCTCTTTCACACACTGCAAATTTGACACATTAAAAAGTGAGGTTGCAGATGTGGTGGGTTCAGCCTACATGGTGGAGTGTCAGTTTGTGAAAGTTCCCTGAAGCAGTTAATATACATGAATTTTCCTTGATTAAGTGCACATATCCAGTTCAAATTCTTGACTTGTGTGTAGGGAGCACATTCAAAGTCTCTTGAGATGCTATGATCACACTTCACCTGTTTTACAAGCTATGTCCTGGTAAGAGGTGGGACTTGAGCACATTGTTCCTGCTCATACTTTGCCCCCTCATCATGTGTTATAAAACCTTGCCCTGCTTAGTTAAATGTGCTCTTGTAGGTGCGGTGCAATTGACTTAAAGCCTGCCAGGCCTTTTAAAGCTATGCCTATCAGGTAACACGCTGTTTAAACACAGATACCCTGATAACAGAAAGTCAGTTTGGGAGGAAAACTCTGCAAGGTGCAGGCAGTAGAGCTTTATATTTCAGCAACAAATCTGGGAAAGTAAACATCATTTCTTAATTAGTGTTTAAAATTTGTAGTTTCTTTGAAATGGGTTAAGTTGCCAAAGAGACTTTGATGTGAGATGATGATAAACATTTCGAAAGTCGTATAAATTGCTTTCAGAATCGCTCTAATCAATTGCGCTCCACAATGCTTACTTTTGTCTCCTCAAATGGACTTTAATGAATGAACACAGACAAAGAAGAATTGGATCAAACATTTCGAGACAGCCAGAAAAGATCTGTGAATCCTCCGCATTCTGCTTCATCAGATAATTACAAGCTAAAAGTCACTTTGAGAGTCTGCTGAAGGCTTTGAGGTCTGATAGCTAGAGTGTGTGGATTTTTGTTGTTATTGTTAAAGCAAAGCTTCTTGTAGCATAAAATTCAGCAGTATAATCCCAAAAAAGTTGATTCTGCGCTCTTGATTCTCTAAGGCATGCTATCTGGACTAGACCTCAAAGCACTAAGGTTAATGCGAATTACGAGCCGTAAGGTTGATTTAACAAAGTGTATACTTTATGTGGAGTTGTTTTTCTGCCCCCCTGCTAAATCCTTCGGCTAGAATAAATTCTGCCTACATGCAGCTTCAACGGCAGATGAACAAAGACTGAGAACGGCAAGACTCCCTCCGAACGACAAACACCCTGGACTGCAAATATGTGTGCATGTAAATGGATTGTCAGGACAATGTTTGTTTTTATATTCACTCTAAATCAATAAGCAGATGTCCCACTGCCATTCGAACATTTAGATTCGGTGTCATTTAGGGAATCATGCAGCGTATTTAGCGAGAACAAGAGCAAAAGGGGAGAGGATGACATCAGCAGAGGGAGACGAAAAGAAAAAGTTTTCTGTCCTTTTTTGTCTGAGCTGCAGCAGATGACCTCAGGCTCTCTGATAAGAAGTGACTGACATGTGAGATGCCACATACACTCCTATCATTTCCCAACAGGGGGTCAACCCCCCCCCCTCTTCAATTTGGTGTGCAAGCAACTATTCACGTACTTCTTCCAACACTCCCCCCCACTGCTGAAGTCAGCCACTGGCAGAGAAAAGAGCAAACTGCAGCTTCCGTTCCTAACGCCTCTACGCTCATTATTTTGGTGTCATTCAGAATGCAATAAAAAGAGAACTAAACACACTATACAGAAAACAAAGTGCATTAAATCACCCCCCCTCCAACGCGGCCTGATGACACACCGACTGTAATATATCTTGGAAAACTGAAAACCAAGATGTAAGGGAGGCGGTGGAGCAGAGTGTGCAGACGGAACAGAGCTGTGCATGGTGCAAAGGCAGAGAGGGCTGCAGCCTTATGGCCACCTGAACCACCACCAGCACAACCACCCAGCCCAGCCCGGCCCAACCCAGCGACATACAAGCAGAATGGGGGTTTAAACAACTCTGCCCAATATTTTAAAGCCAGTGGTGTATTGGGAAGAAAAAGGGGGAAAGAGGAGGGGAGGGGTGGACAAGTTGGGAACATAGGTGAGGTGGAGTCCTGGGGGAGAGGGACGAAGATGCTTCTGGGATGACGAAGGCTAGCCAGCTAGCTTGCTGGTCACCAAGGACGACTTCCTTGTCCTTGGCAGATCCTGCGGCGTTGGGATGTGGTCGCCAGTTACCAGGTTCTTCTCGGGTCCAGCCACAGGAAGCTGCTTGTTCTTCATCTTAGCTTTGGCCATGTTGTAGTCTCCTGAGTCAAAATACTTTTGCTGTGTAAAAAGACAGACCAAAGGCGGAATTAGACCAAAAGAAAAGCTTTGCCTCACATTAGCCCAGCATACACTGTATGACTTTGGGATGGTTTTGAGACAATTTTCCAGTTGCAGGTGTGACGAGAGGCGACTGGCACCTCATGACGAGTTTCCAATCAGAAATCGTGTGTAGCAAGAAAATCAATTTGGTTGTGGCTCATGATTGGATCGCATGTTGAAGCGGTGACACGACCAGACTTGGAGGTTCTGACATTAGGCATGAGTGAAACAACAGTGTTTATACAGGAATGAGTCACTGAAGTTTAATGCTCAGGTTCAGTTCAGGTACTGCATCCTTTGAAGGCCCCGGCCCTCCTAAAGCGGGCCCTTTGAAAACCTTAAAGACAGCAAAGGCTAGAAGGGTTGAGCTGTGATCTACACTTTTTTTTTTGAGTCTCAGGGCTCATCTGGCACTTTTAAGCCTTCATAGTTGGATGTAATTTTTTCTAATGATCCCTGCAAGGTCCTTTTGTATCCTACACAGCCTATCAGAGTAGTAATACAGGGCATATGTGTACACCAGGGGTTGACGT